TTATGGCAGAAGCTTGGCCTCATATCCCGCGCTGCCCCGGGAGGTTTGCCGAAGCCGGCCTGCTTGCACCTTAGAATCTCGCTTCCCTGCTTCCTTTGGGGTTTAGGGTTTAGGGTTCAGGGTCTAGGGTCCAGGGTTCAGGGTGTTCTCCGTATAGTACTAGGCTTATCAGTAGCCTTAGCATGTGAGTTGTTATTGTGAAATATAGTACGTGTTTTCTCAATTGGGCTTCAAAGTATCAATATCAAGCATGAAGTCAGGAGTTGAGGGTTTAGGGTTTACGGTTTAGGGTTCAGGGGTTTATAGTCTTCGGGGTTTAGGGTATTTATGAGTAGGGCCAATGCCCTAAGTCAGGTTCTTGCCATAGCTGACCGCCTTAAAACCGTACTTGTATGTGCTCATGAGCTCCCAGTCCAGGCCCCCCCCCAGTAGGACCCTTGTTACCTTTTTGTTTTGGGGGGTCCCTTATTAGAACTGAACCCTAAACCCTAAACCCTAAACCCTAAACCCTAAACCCTAAGTTATTAAGGAGTTGCTGGGATTACTGGGGGCCTAGAAATGCGCCTTGCTGGGTGCCCGAAATAGGAGGGGCCGCCTTGCAATAAGGACCCCAAAAGGGAGCATATTTTAGAGAAGTGACCGTTTAGGGTTTAGGGTTTCGGGTATAGGGTTTCGGGTTTAGGGTTTAGGGTTTAGGGTTTAGGGTTTACACCAAGCAGGGCTATAGCTGCCCTAGCTCAGGTTACAACCATAATTTAGCCAACTCTAATCCCTACTTATAAGCACCCTAAACCCTAAACCCTAAACCCTATACCCTAAACCCTAAACCCCTAAACCCCTAAACCCCTAAACCCCTAAACCCCTAAACCCCTAAACCCCTAAACCCTAAACCCCTAATCCCCTAAACCCCTAAACCCCTAAACCCTAAACCCTAAGAGACCCAAGAGCCCGAAGCCCTTTTGTGTTTTGGGGGTTCCTTGACGGGTACCCTTGTTGTTTAGGAGGTGCCGGGGAGCCTATAGAAGTAGGGGGGTTTACGATCATAAGGGACCCCAAGAATAGACCCCCCCAATAGTGAGATCCCCTGCAAAATACGGACCCAATCTATCGTAAACCCCCCAAATGGGGGGAACATGTGCCTTAAGCTGTAAATCCTTAACCCTAAACCCCTTACGCCTAAACCCTAAACCCTTAACCCTTAAACGTCGTCAACAAGCTTTGCCGGTGTCTGGAAGAGTTCACCCCAAATCGTTCTACCCCTCGAATACCGAGCGTCAGGTGGCACAAACCGCTGGATTAGACTGGCCAGAAGTTGCACAAAACCGGGATCGATGGAACGCGCTCCAGCAGCAGTATGTAGCAAGGTGGGATGTTAAATGGACACGTGGTCGGCAGGCTGCGATCCAGTATTAGAGCGTTGTGTGGTCATCTGAATGAAGCTGCGCAACTTGCGGCTGGTGCGGGATGACGCTCATGATTCTCTATCAGTGACTTTTTGGCTCCGTGTGGATCAGTACAACTCTAGGTGATGCCACCTTGAGAACTTCTTCTCGGATAACATCAAGTGTGAATATTCGGTCGACTTGTGAGTGGGGAGCTCTTTCAGTTCAGTGAGCGCCTCGTAAGGGGTGGACAGAGGCAATATGCAAAAGTCCGACTCACTTTCAAAAAAAACAACCCTTAAACCCTAAACCCTAGACCCCGTTTCCCCCAAAAGAGGAAAACAACCCTTAAACCCTAAACCCTAGACCCCGTTCCCCCCAAAAGAGGCCTTACCACCTTCTCTACGAGTCGGCCAGCGTGGAGCTGCTGAATCGGAGCAGCTCACAGAAGCTGAGCTGGGCGCAGGCTAGGGCAGAGCTTCCGAAGTTTAGGGTTTAGGGTCAGGGTTTAGGGTTTAGGGTTTAGGGTTTAGGGTTTAGGTTTCAGGGTTTCAGGGTTTCAGGGTTTCAGGGTTTCAGGGTTTCAGGGTTTCAGGGTTTCAGGGTTTCAGGGTTTCAGGGTTGAGGGATTAGGGTTTAGGGTTTAGGGCAAGTTAGGTTTCAGGGTTCAGGGTCAGGCTTCAGGCGGTCTAGGGTCTCGGCTTTTGTTATAGACTTCCGGGCTTGAGGCGGTTGCCTGCAACCCAATTTAGCAAGTTTAGGGTTTCGGGTTTAGGGTTTAGGGTTTAGGGTTTAGGGTTTGGGGCCTAAACCCTAAACCCCAAACACCTCTACACCCGCCTTCCTGAACCCCTGAAGTCCTCAAGCCTATAAGCCCTAAAACCCACAAGTTGCCCTACTTGGAGGTGCATGGTACTCATTAACCAAAGAAAACTGTACTTTTAGAGTTTAGGGTTTAGGGTTTAGGGTAACTGTACTTGTATCTGTACTTATAACCATATTGGGGCACTTAAGGGGCTTATCAGTGGGTTATAAGTACAGTTATATCTGGTTAATGAGTGCCATGAACCTCTAAGTACGTCCAGAGCTAAAGGTTGTTGATACAAGTCTCGAGGGTCCATGCTTGGAACCCTAGACAGAGAGGGCGTTTTCGGCCGCCAGGTGGTTAGCATCCTCGAGTCGTTCGCAGCTGCTGACCCGCATACTCAACAGGGTTTGGGCTCAAGGCTTGGGGGTTTATAAGGTTCAGGGATTAGCAAACCCTAAACCCTGATTAAACCCCAGCCCCCCCCGCACCCCAACCAACACAGGGGGGGGACCTAAACCCGAAACCCTGAACCTTATAAACCTTATAACCTCGAAGCCCTAAGCCCAACCTCGCAACCGCACCGCAAGGTTGGGGGGGGGGGGGGGGGGGGCCCACACCAGGATGCAGGATAAAAGGGGGTGGGCCGGGGGGGGGGGGGGGGAGGAGGGGTATACACCCTAAAATTCGACAAGCGGAAAACTTGCCTTGAATTCCTAAATCCTAAGCCCTGCCTTAAAAGGGATCACAGGCAGACAGGGCACATGCCTTGTTGTCCCAAATCTCTGTCGAGAACCCATGCAGCGAGCAGCGTTTAGTATTTCAAGGTTGCGGCGCTAAGCTTTACCCAAAGAGCCCAATAACCCTTGAATAAGGAATATTCCTTAAATCAAATGAAGGATCCCTTTATAATTTAAGATATATTCCTTAATCAAGGGGTATTGGGCTCTCTGGGTAGGGTCCTACTAGGATGCGCAGTAGCACCCTCGTTCCCTTTTTGGGGGGGCTTAGGTTGCTTCATAGACCCCTTGGAGCAAAACCGGCACCCTTTTGAATCCTAGGTTGCCTCGGGCCACCTAGCCTAGACCCTGTAGTGCAACACCCAAAAAGTAGACCCCTAAACCCTAAACCCTAAACCACACGAACTGCAAGGCCGCTCCTCATGGATGGTCAGTGGCAGTGCGTTTTGGGAAGGTTCCAGCCCTTACTTGGCCTTTAGTTGAACCTTAAGGGGTTTAGGGTTTAGGGTTTAGGGTTTAGGGTTTAGGGTTTAGGGTTTAGGGTTTAGGGTTTGGGGTTTGGGGTAACCTTTTTCAAGCCTTGGTTATTGGAGAAGTAAGAGTCGATGGCTTTCCTTTAAGGATCCATGTGCCTATGTGGTATATACTTGGTTCCTATATAGTAGCTTTCAGGGGCTTAAGTATAAGCCTTTATAGGTACAGGGATCCTGAGGGCTTAAGGTTTGGGGCTTTGGTGTTTTCGTGTTTAGATGTGAAGGGGGTCGGCTTTAGGGTTTGGGGTTTTGGGGCATCTAAGAGTACTTGGAGGTTCATGGTACTTATTAGCCCATTATAGCCAAATTATAGCTGTACTATAACCCACTTCTAAGCCCATTAAGTGTCCGAATATAAGTTATAAGTACAGTTATAGGTACACTTATTATTGGCTAAGAAGTACCATGCACCTCCAAGTAGGTTGCAGGCACCTGGCGTCTGCAGTGCCAACCGCTCAGGCTGTACGTTTGTGGCTGCCCGAACTTGCGCACTTCTACCGAAAGCTGCGGCGCCAGCAGGACCCCGCAACCCTCATACCAGCAACCCTAAACCCCGAAAGCCCTATAACCCTATAACCCTAAACTCTAAACCCTCTAACCCTAAACCCTATAACCCTAAACCCTGTCACCCTAAACCCTCAACCCGATAACCCTAAACCCTAACCCCCAGAAGCCCTGCTACTCTAAGCTGGATGGGCCCCTACACCCATGTCAATACCACAAAAGACAGAGAGCCCGGAAATAAGCCCCCCGATCCACATATATACATATATATGTATATGTATCTATATATATATATATATACACGCATATGTAAAAATAAGCATGTAGATGAACAAACAAAAAATGAATGCATATATATATATATATGTATATATGTATATACATATACATATACGTATATATGCTAGCCCCACGAGCCCAAGCCTAAACCCCCTCAACCCCAAGCCGCCCAGACCCTATAAGGAGGGGGATTAGGGTATCATGAGGCCTCTATAGCCCTCCCCCACCCCCAAATGCCCTAAACCTCCAGAGCCTAAACGCTTCGACGCCTATGATCCCGAGTTCGTATTCGAGTCTACAGCCACATCCCTTCACAGCTCTCCGCGAGTTTTGAGCAAAATGGCCCGGAAGTGCAGGGACAGAAGGAGTTAAGAAAAAAACTCTCAACCCCAAGCCCTAAATCCTAAACCCTATAGAAATCGTTCGTTTATCTCACCATGGAGCTCTTGGAGGTTCATGGTACTTCTAACGCAGCGATATCTGTACTTATAACCCAGAACTGAGCCCCTTATTTGCACTAACGTGGCTATAAGTGGGTTACAAGTACTGTAGCCTCCAAGCCAGCCTACTAGGTCGGCCCCTTGGGATATTTTGGGGTGTAAAGTGTTTTGAAATTAGAGGGGTTGAGCGCTTAGGGTTATTTTTCACTTGCGTTGGGTTTGAGAGGACCACGTGAACGCCAAACGCCAAACCCCAAACCCCAAACCCCAAACCCCAAACCCTAAACCCTAAATCGATCCTCCAGGAGTTGGCCCGAATGCCGACCATGGGCTTAATTCGCTTCCTCTCGGCGGCCACGGACCTTGAGCTGACGGACAAGGCGTCAAAGGTTTAGGGTCTAGGGTTTAGGGTTTGGGGTTTGGGGTTTGGGGTTTAGGGTTTAGGGTTGGGTGTTTAGGGTTTGGGGTTTAGGCTTCCGCTTTAGAGACGGGTGGGGTTAGGGTTTCGGGTACTTACTGGGAGGTTCATGGTAGTTACTAACCCGATGATAGCTTCACTTATAACCGAATTATAACCATGTTAGGGCATTTTAGGGGCTTACAAGTGCAGCTATAGTTGGGTTATAAGTACCGTGAACCTCCAAATAGAGTTGTGGTTTTGGGTTCAGGGGTACCCAAAGAGCCCAATACTCCTTAATTAATGAATACTCCCTTAAAGCACATTAAGGATCCCTGTATAATTTCAGGCATATTCTTTTATTCGGGGTTTAGGGGTTCAGGGTTTACTTTGAGGGTTAAGTCCTAAACCCTAAACCCTTAGCCCTTAACCTGGCTTTTGGGTGTTGGGTGGTGGGTGTAGTAGGCGGTTTTCGATCGTTCCTCACCTGGCACTCTGGGTTTAGGGTTTAGGGTTTAGGGTTTAGGGTTTAGGGTTTAGGGTTTAGGGTTTAGGGTCAGGGTTTAGGGTCACTACAGGATAAACCCGTACTCCCGAGGACAATTTGGACACCCAAGCATCTAGAGTCTAGAGCCTTTAGGGTTTGTAAGGTTTATATAGGATGTTTAGGGTTTGTAGGATTTATAGGATTAAGTCGAAATATCTTGGTGGGGAGCAAACCTCCGAAAAGACTCTCATGGAAATGTTAGTCGTAAATCAATTCACCACTACACCATTGTCATCATCGATATTGTTCTAATCACACCCAACTTCCAGCTGGATCAGTGATATTCACACCCTACTTCCATTAGGGTCAGTGAGGATTCATTCAAAAATGATGGATTTTATCCATCATCATTTTTGCATGAACCCGAACATCTTCAATTCTAGCATGTTAAACGGTACTGAAAGCTTGTAAACAGTACCCGAAACTCTTGAAATGGAGCATATATCAGCACCCGAAACATTAGAAATAAGGGCTCACAACCCGAAACTTTGTTTCTCGAGCACATGATAGGGTTTACAGGGTTTGCAGTGTTTTATGGGGTTGTGTATGGTTTTCTAGGGTCCATAGTTTTTGTGTTTTTTCACGGGTCATGGTTCACGCCGACAGAATCTTGCCCCAGGGCAGCAATTTCCTAAGCCCTAAACCCTAAACCCTAAACCCGAAACCCTAAACCCTAAACCCTAAACCCTAAACCCCAGCAATTTCCGAGAACGGTTGCTGTCAAGGGACTCAGACTCCTTTCCCTAAGGTTGTACCCCTAAAGGTTCCCCTTCATACACTCCTACTTGAAGGTTCATGGTACTTACTAACCAATTATAACTGGGCTTATAACCCTACTTATAATTGGGATAACCCCTTTAAGGCCCTTTGGGGGGTAATATAAGTAGGGTTATAAGTACAGTTATAATTGGTTAGTAAGTACCATGAACCTTCAAGTAAGATGGCCCTTATACACCCCGACTTGGAGGTTCATGGGTACTTATAACAACAGTTATAAGTCTACTTATAGCCTCTCAAAACGGACTTCGAAGGCTTCTAGGTACAGTTAAAATTCGGGTTCTAAGTACCTTAGCCTCCAAAGTAGGGATCCTTAAAAAGGGACCCCCCAGGACCCGTGGGTGCAACCTTAAGGGTCCAAGGTCGAACCCCTAGATGATTTCTGAAACCCGAGCTTCCCTAAAATGTGGTCCTTTTTGTTTTGTTTTGTTTTTTTTTTTTTGGGGGGGGGGGGGGGTCCTCATGAAAAGGCGGGGTGCTGTTATTTCATACCGAACCCCACTGAAACTGAAGCTGAACTCGAAACTGTTTCAGTTTCAGTTTCAGTTTCCGTGCAGCTGGTTCCTGTCCTCCTTCCCCAATGAAACTGAAACTCGACAACCCCCCCTCCCCTCCCCACAAAAAGATATACTGACGCTGAGTTGCGGCAATTTTTGGGTTTGGGGATCTGGGCGTGTTTTTGTTGTTCAAGTCTCCTTTCCGTATGCAGAACAGCTTGTGCCGCAGCCAGGCCCCCCCCCGAACCCTAAACCCTATTTCAACCCTAAAACCTATTTCAACCCTTAACCCTAAACCCTATTTCAACCCTAAACCTTAAGCCCCAAACCCTAAACCCTCCCCCCCCCCCCTGAACCCTATTTCAACCCTAAACCTTAAGCCCCAAACCCTAAACCCTCAAGCCTCCCTTCAAGCCCCAAAAAACTCAAAATTGAACCACAACACCCCCCCCCCCCCAGACCAGCGGGTTTAGGGTTTAGGGTTTGGGGTTTGGGGTTTAGGGTTTGGGGTTCAGGGTTTAGGGTTTAGGGTTCAAGCTGTAGGGTTTGGGGTTTATAGGGTTTAGGGGTCAAGCTTGAGGGTTGAGGGTTGCAGGGCGGTGCTGACGTGCGAGAGCTGGTCAGCAGGCGCGGCGGTTTCCTTGGCCTGGTCTGTAGCCGGTTTCTTGCTCTTGGTAGCCCAGTGGTACCCTTAAACCCTAAACCCTAAACACCAAACCCTAAACCCTAAACCCTAAGCCCTAAGCCCTAAACCCTAAACCCTAAACCCTAAACCCTAAACCCTAAACCTGTTTTTTGGTTCAAGGTTCCCTTATAAACTATCCAGCCAAAACAGGGTGCCCTTATTGTAATATGGTTACAGTACCAAGTGTTGTGGGCCGGGGACCTTTTTTGTTTCAGTCCCATTTGTTCGGGCAGGCTTCTTCAGTGTATGGGCAGATGGAGTTAGGCATCTCATACAGGTTGGAACGTCATGCCCGTCATAGTGGGATTATGATTTATAGGGTCTATAGCGATTGAACAGGGCAGATTGTCTTATGGTAATCTGCTGTGCCCCTCTTCAGGCATGTTCACACATGTTCCTTTTTGCTGCGCTCGACCAGATGAACATGCACTTCGAGCCCTGAACCCGAAAACTCTTACAATGGTCCCTGCGCAATGCGCAGATGTTCCTTTCGTTCCACGCTCCATCTCGGCAGGTGTCAATGGCAGGGCCGCGTAGCGTTGTAACCACAGATGTATCAAACCACCTCAGCTATGGAACATGTAGAAAGTTCAGCTCGATTTTTCCTAAACCCCTAAACCCTTAGCCCAAAGCCCTGAACCCTTGACACCCTGAACACCCCATGGGTTGCTTGCATTCTGTTTACCTACAGTTTGGTGGCAAGCGCCTCTTCACAACTTTGACTCTTTGCAGTTTGAGTCCCCAGGTAGTCGCTTTCGGGAGGTTCGCCGTGAACAACCCTAAACCCTCAACCCCTAAACCCTAAGCCCTAAACTTAGGCCCTAAACCCTAAACCCTAAACCCTAAACCCTAAACCCTAAACCCTAAATCAACCCTGAGCCCCTGAGGCTTGAACCGCAAAGAATTCTACAACCTCCATCCTAAACCAAGAACCTACCTCAAGGCTCTCATGTAGTTCCTTTTTTGGGCTACTTCAACCAAAGCTTTTCAGGTTTAGGATGTATTTCTTTATTGATATTTTTATGTCTTCCTGGGGGATTCTGTTAAACCCAGAGAGCCCAATACTCCTGAATCAAGGAATATACCTCAAGTTATCAAGGGATCCTTAATCTGATTTAAGGAATATTACTTCGTTAAGGGGTATATATTGGGCTCTTTGGGTACTACCCTCAAAGGGTACTACTCCTGGGGAATGATAGTTGTCTACCCTCGGATAAGGTACTACACAGAAGCCTTGAGGTATGGCCTACACCTATGGCCTACACCTCGAAAGCCCTCGAAAGTTTTGACTCCAGGCTTCCGGGTGCCCTGAACCCTAGACCCGATTCAGAACCCCTGCAAAGGTTTAGGGTTTAGGGTTTAGGGGTTTAGGGTTTAGGGTTTAGGGTTTAGGGGTTTAGGGTTTGGGGTTTGGGGTTTAGGGTTTAGGGTTTCGGGCCTAAATCCTACAACCCCTAAAGCCCTAAACCCTAAACCCTAGTGAGCCTTGCAAGCCAGGATTCTCGCTGAGACCATTCCGCAGAGGCCCCTACCACTGGAGGAGACGGTCCGGGGCTGAAGTTTGGGGTTTAGGGTTTAGGGTTTAGGGTCTGGAGTTTAGGGTTTAGGGTTTAGGGGGGTGTACTTGGAGGTTCATGGTGCTTATTAACCAATGATAGCTGTACTTAGAACTGTACCTCTGTCCGTATTTGGGTTCTTGAGGGGCTGATTAGTGGGTTATAAGTACACTTATAATTGGCTAGTAAGTACCACGAACCTCAAAGCATAATTTAGGATCTAGGGTTTACGGTTTAGGGTTGAGGGCTTAGGGTATAGGGCTCCGACAAAGAGTGCGTTTAGGGTTCAGGGTATAGAGTAGAGCGGGTCTGGCCGTTCCATGCCATTTGGGGTTAGGTTTACAGTTCACGATTTTCAGGTTTAGGGTTTAGGGTTTAGGGTTTAGGGTTTAGGGTTTAGGGTTTAGGGGGTTTAAGGTTCGGCCGTAAACCCCAACCCCTGCAAACCCCAAACCTCAAAAACCTGGCCGCGCCACGTCTCCGTGAACTGCACGCGAGGCTGCACTGCCCTAAACCCTAAACCCTAGACCCTAAACCCTAAACCCTAAACCCTAAACCCTAAACCCTAAACCCTAAACCCTAAACCCTGGAGTGTTGGTGGTTGAAGCGGAAGTGTTGGTGTTGATGCTGTTCGAGCTGCGGATGCTGGAGCAGTTTAGGGTTTAGGGTTCAGGGTTTAGGGTTTCCGATGCGAGCCCGAGCCCGTAGAGGCTGATCGAAGCACTCCACAGAATAGGGCTAAACCCAAAATCCAAAGCCCCCCTAAACCCTAAATCCTAAACCCTAAACCCTAAAACCCCCTAAACCCTAAACCCCAAACTCTGTTTGGCTTCTTTGGGTTGAGCCTTGTATTGCTAGGGTGGGCTTCTCAGCTTGTGGCGTAGGGGGGTAAATCTCTTCATGACTAAGAGTGCTTTGGGGTTTGGGGTTTAGGGTTGAGGGTTGAGAGTTTGGGAGGAATAAGGGCCTGTAGTTTCAGGTTTTGGGTTTAGGGTTTAGGCGAAACCCCAGACCCTAAACCCTAAGAACCCTAAACCATAAGAACCCTAAACCCTAAGAACCTAGAACCCTAAGAACCTAGAACCCTAAACACTAAACCCCAAACCCCAAACCCTAAACCCTAAACCCTAAACCCTAAACCCTAAACCCTAAACCCTAAACCCTAAACCCTAAACCCTAAACCCTAAACCCTGACCCTAAGAACCCACATGAGGCAACCATCCTGCAGAGCTTGCTGAATTCTGGCACAGCCCGGCCTCCAGCATGGCTGCAGGTGGTTGTACTTAGGCTTAGGGTTTTAGGGTTGAGGGTTTAGGCTTGAGGGTTTAGGGTTTAGGGTTGAGGGTTTCGGGTTTGGGGTTTGGGGTTTGGGGTGTGGGGTTTAGGGTTTAGGGTTCGGGGGGAGTAGGCCCTTACTCCGTTTTGTAGGGTTGAGGCTCCCTGGTAGGCCCCCTTAACACGAAACGGGAACGCTTTTTATTCCTAGGTTACTCTTGGGTCTCGTCTCTCAACTCAAATCCAGCACCCCCTTGACGAGGCCATCAAAGCTTTTGGAGCCCTGGACCCCTAAGCCCTAAACCCGCCTAAGCCCCAATCCCTTATGTAGGAAACTCAACCCTCAACCTTAGACCCCAGACCCTAAACCCCAGAGCCTAAACCCTAAACCCCAAACCTGAAACCCGAAACCCCAAACCCCAAACCCTAAACCCCAAACCCCAAAACCTAAACCCTAAACCCTCAACCCTAAACCCCTAACCCTAAACCCCAAACCCTAAACCCCAAACCCCAAACCCTAAACTTCGGCCTCTGGGTTGGCCATAGCCTGAACCCTAAACCCTAAACCCTAACCCTAAACACTAAACCCTAACCCTAACCCTAAACCCTAACCCCAAACCCTAAACCCTTAACCCTAAACCCTAAGGTTCTGCCTGACAAGCAGCTGCGGCACCTCCTCTCCTGGGTGGCCGGCGCCCACAGCTTCTGCAGAGTTTCGGCCTCTGGGTGTAGGGTTTAGGGTTTACGGTTTAGGGTTTAGGGTTTAGGGCTTAGGAGGGCTTAGGGTTTAGGGTTTAGGGTTTAGGGTTCTGGGCCCAGTGGTGCCCTTGTGCGTCTGAAGTAGCCAATCCCCAAACGGGTATCCATTATTCCAAGGTGGTTGCTGCGCTAGCAAGTAGCCCTGAACTTTGAGTGGCTTTATCACATAACATATTCCTAAACCCCCCCCAAAGCACCCTTTGACGTATTACCCTGAGCCCTAAACCCAAAGTCTTGGTCTCACATTCCCATCAACTCTGTCCTAGAGTCCTTGTGGCCCAGACGCACCAAACCTGAAAAGCCCTCACCCTAAACCCTAAACCCAAAGCCCTGAAGCCTAAAACCCCGTGTTGGCTCCAGAAATCTCCCTGATTAGACTTAGGAAGCCTGGGAGAGACGGGGATATGAAGAATAAGGGTTTAGGGTTTAGGGTTTGGGGTTTAGGGTTTGGGCCTTAGGGTAGTTTAGGCCCTTAAACCGTTCAAACAGCTACAACATCTCAGGTGCATTCTTGCCATCCTGTCCCTTTTGCCCCCCAAACACTAGACCCTAAATCCCTTTATTGCCGGCCAGGCCCCAAACAGGCCGAGCCACTTCAGCCACTTACAGCTGACGTCCCTGTGGCCCTGGCCGTTTGAGGTGTTAAGGTTCAGGGTTCCGGTTTAGGGTTTAGGGTTTAGGGTGTAGGGTTTAGGGTTTAGGGTTTAGGGTTTATAGGGTTTCGGGTAAAAACGCGAATCTCGGACAATTTCATCTGGCAATTTGCACCACATAACTCCTAAGTACCCTCATACACGATAAAGTACACCCTGGCAACTCTCTTCCTAAAACTGCCTTGAATCCATCTAGCACTGCGCCTTAATTTGCACATTCTTCCCTTCTGACTTGTAAGAAACAGGCTACCCCAACTCCGTATTCCAGCGAAATGGACCCCCGAATCTGGGGTTGGGGGGCTGTGCGGTGTCAGGGTTTCGGGCTTATCTTTGTGGCCCACTGGTACCCTTTTACCTTTTTGTTGTATCAAGGTTCCCTTAAAAAGCTACCAACCTAAGAACAAAAAGTGCCCTTAAAATAACCTGGTTACTGAGGTTTCAGGGTAGGGGGTTAGAGGCTTTGAAGTGATGCGAAGGTCTAGACCCTGAACCGTCATACCTACTTGCAGGATCATGGGGCACTGCCGGTACAAAGTAGAGCTCTATGTGTCCTTAAATCAAAGGACCCCAATTAGGGCTATCTCTCTTGATATGCCTACGTTGAGAGTTGCTTGCTACATCCCCCGATCCTCCAAGTACACCCTGATGTAGGGACAAACCCTGATGCATGGCTGTGATCAGGGTTTAGGTGAGGGTAGTTTCCTGGTTTCATGGTATCGGGCCTTAGAGAAGGGGCCCGTATACACCGGTTGTATACCCTATAACCCCATATACTTCAAGGGCCCTTACTTCAGAACCCGTACAAGGTCAGGAACCATATGAAGGGACCATGTAGGTACCCTTAGATTAGGGCTAACGCTCGGCCAGCTACCCTTGGATTGGGAGCAAAAGTTTCGGGATTTTGTAGAGGTTAGGGTTCAGGGTTTACCCCTAAGCCTAAACCCTAACCTTCAGGGTCTAGGGTTTGGGGAACCTCGCTCTGTAGCCACGTTTCTATTGCAGGTCAGTGAGGGCTTCAGGAGGGTTTCGGTAGTTGAGGTCTTGGGTCCCTACGAAACCTTAACCGAAACCCTAAACCGTATATGAAGTAGGGTTTATTTATATTTCTTGTACCCCCAAAAGAAAACCAGGTATATACACTCACCAATATGAAAAAGGAACCTTATATACACTCAACAAAAACAGAAAAATAAACCCTACTTCATATAAACCCAAAACCCTTGGGGTTTAGGGGGGCTCAGGGTTTCGGGACAAGGGCTTTCTAAGCCTTAACCATAAGGCGCGGCAAAACAAAGGGCCCAATGCCTCTCATCAAGGCAGGTATAGCTTAAATTACACATGTATAAGTGTTCTTAGTATCCACTAACCCTAGAAACCTTTCTATCAGCCCCAGAAACCCACCCCATTAACCCTACTTACTAAGTTAAATGGGCTTCCAAGTAATGTGTTCTGAAGGTACTCCTCAACTCACATAAACCCTAAGCCCTAAACCCTGGCAGGTCCACAACAGACCCGCGCAAAACTGTGGCCCCACCAGCAAACCTGAGATGCAGGACTTAGGTCACCGCCTTTAGTGTTGAGAAATGACGCCTTTCTGCTCCGCAGTGCGCCTAAAAGCAAGAACTTCCACCCATTTCTGCCCAGAAGAAGGTTTAACCTTCTCGGAATGGATCAGACGATGTAAACCATGGACGTCATCATGCTTGGGCCATGCATGCTCTCTTCTCATCAGAGCAGAGTAGACCATGGACGTCATCATGCTTGGGCCATGGATACTCTCTTCCCAGAACGGCTTAGACTATGGACTTCATCATGGTTGGGCCATGGCAGTGCAGAAAACATGTAGACCATGGACGTCATCATGCTTGGGCCATGGATGCTCTCTTCTCATCAGAACAGAGTAGACCATGGACGTCATCATGCTTGGGCCATGGATACTCTCTTCCCAGAACGGCTTAGACTATGGAATTCATCATGCTTGGGCCATGGATGCTCTCTTCTAACTATGGTGAAGCAAACGTGTTATTTAGACCCAGGGCTGGGCAGAAGCGGATGCAAGCAAGACAGGGCTTAGTTTAGGACACGTCGAAAGTGCGAAGTAGTGCAAAATACCCCACAAATGCCAGTGCAGTCTACGGATGCCCAAACAATTGCAGGATGATTTTGGATAAAATTGCGGGGATGAGGTGATGGGCGAAACCCAGGAAACATCGGTATTTACAGGGGATTCTGAGGGCAACAGAGCTAAACTGCCGAAAACACGTGGGTCTGTTGTGGCCCCGCCTAGCCCTAAACCCCATAAACCCTGACCCGACATTTGTGTTTTTTGTTGCGTGTTTCCAGGCCAAGTCTGGGACTCTGTCTAAGGTCAGCAAATCTTAGAGCTAACCTAGGGTTAGGGCTTATAGGTTGAAGATTTCGGGTTTTGGGTTTCGGGATCATAGCGTCCTGCCCGTGAAACCAAAAGCGACTTCCCCGCAGCAGGCGCCAGTTCGTGCTCTTCGTACTTGCGCAGGCACGTGCGGCACGGGTGCCAAAAAAGCACTACGCCCGAAGCCCAAAAACACTTGTCCCCGAACCCTAAACCCTAAACCCTAGCCCTAAACCCTAAACCCTAGATAAACCCTACCTAAACCCTAAACCCTAGCCCTGAACCCTAAACCCTAAACCCTAAACCTCTCCGCACGCCATGGAGGCTGAGGAGACACAGCGGGCTAGTCTGCCGGGAGCTCGACCTCCCCCAGGTGCTCTTTTTGTTGGTAGGGTTTAGGGTTTAGGGTTTAGGGTTTAGGGTTTAGGGTTTAGGGTTTAGGGTTTCGGGTTTAGGGTTTAGGGTTTAGGGTTTTAGGGTTTTAGGGCTTTAGGGCTTTAGGGCTTTAGGGCTTTAGGGCTTTAGGGCTTTAGGGCTTTAGGGCTTTAGGGCTTTAGGGCTTTAGGGTTTTAGGGTTTTAGGGTTTTAGGGTTTTAGGGTTTTAGGGTTTCAGGGTTTTGGGTTTTAGGGTTTTAGGGTTTGAGGGTTTTCGGGGTTTAGGGTTTGAGGGTTTTAGGGTTTTAGGGTTTTAGGGTTTTAGGGTTGTACGGTTTTAGGGTTTAGGGTTTTAGGGTTTTAGAGTGTTCGGGTTTTAGGGTTTTAGGGTTTTGGGGTTTTGGCGTCTTAGGGTTTTTAGGGTTTCTGGGTTTCAGGGTTTCAGGGTTTCTTTGTTTTAGGGTTTAGGGGTTTAGGGTTTTAGGGTTTTAGGGTTTAGGGTTTAGGATCTACAAAATAGGTTTCCAGGACTCCTAAGTCAAGAGCCCAATCTTTTCCTGCTTGGAAGTGCAGATTGAACGCAACAGGGTTCTTGTCTAGTCCTTGCAATGACGGTTCCCGAACTAAAGAGCACGAACCCTAGGCCCCCAAGCCCAAATCGTGAGTTCTCAACATGATGGTCCCTTCTTGGGGTACCCCTAAACCCTAAACCCTAAACCCTAAACCCTAAACCCTAAACCCTAAACCCTAAACCCTAAACCCTATTGGGGGGGGGGGGGGGGGGGGGGGCGGCTTATCATAAGGACCCCCAACAAGGGACCATCTTTTGGAGAAGTGACCAAATCATAAAGTTGGCACCCTTGGGTTGGGGACCCTTCTTTAAAGCATCCTAAGGGTTTAGGGTTTAGGGTTTAGGGTTTAGGGTTTGGGGTTTGGGGTTTGGGGTTTAGGGTGGTACTAAGGGCCAAACTTATGGAGTATACTCAGGGACACCTCTAGGGGGTACAAGACTCCTACTTGAAGGCTCAAGGTACTTACTAACCAATTCTAACTGTACTTATAACCCTACTTAAAATACCCCTAAAGGGCCTACAGGGGTTGTCCCAATTGTAAGTAGGGTTAAAAAGCCCAGTTAGAATTGGTTAGTAAGTACCATGAACCTTCAAGTACACCCTATTCATCCCTAAACCTAGGATTCCCCCCCCTTTCCCCCCTTTCCCCCCTTTCCCCCCCTTGTCCAGTAGTGCCCTTATGCACTTTTTTGGGGGGTTAGGTTCCCTTACATGCGCTGGGGCCTCCCTTTCCTGCCACACCTCGGCCCAAGCACTGTAGGAGCCATGCCTTCTGCTGAGCCCTAAACCCTAAACCCTAAACCCTAAACTTTCAACTCTAAACCCGAAACCCGGCTGAATTTCCAAAACCCTCAACCTTCCCCCCCCCCCTCTCCAAACCCCAAGCCCTAAACCATAACCCACCCCCCCCAAAAAAAAAAACAAAAAAATATATAAAAATAAAAATAAATAAACAATCTAAAATAAATAAAGGCCCTAAACCTTGAAGCCTAAAACCTCACCCTACCCCTCCCCCCACCCCCACCCCCCCCCAAAAAAAAAATCAGCACAGGACAACAACTCTCCACCCCAAAGCCTGAGAACCCAAAGAACTTCTCCCCCGAGGCTGCGAATGCCGGTCGAGATGCAGACCTTTGTCTCCGCAGTTCTCTGTGCTCTGCTCGGTAGCTTACTTCGGGACTTCAGGAGTTATAGGGGGCTACCAAGACCCCCATCGTATGTAGGGAAAACGTAGCCCCCATGCCCATAAAAAAGGGCCATTCTTTTTGCGTCCTCAGGGGTTTAGGGTTTAGGGTTTTAGGGTTTAGGGTTTAGGGTTTAGGGTTTAGGGTTTAGGGTTTAGGGTTTAGTCTTAGTAGCTGAGTGAGTACACTTTACACTTTTTGGGATACTACAACCTCGCATAAAACTGAAAGTGTACACATTTTGGGGCTTATGAACTCAGCAACTAAGTAGTGATGCGTATGGTATGGGGTTTAGGGTTTAGGGTTTGGGTTTAGGATGTACGGTTTACTGTTTAGGGTTTAATTTTTAGGGTTTAGGATTTAGGGTTTAAAGGGATTCCTTTGGTATAAGGTTTAGGGTATTGGTACTGTTCATGGTATCGACCTTGCCTATGTACCTATTGCTATATTGTTTTCCTCATTGGGCCACCGCCATTAAACTCTAAGCCCTCAAAACCCTACCCATAGGCTCCAATGTGGTTCCATTTTGGGCTAGTACAGGGATCCTAGTATACTACCCCAAAAAGGTACTTCATACGCCTTTGGGTAAACCCACCCAGACACCCTTTCGTGGCGGTGATGCATGCAAACCCGAAGCGCACTTGTCCGTGGTTTTAGGGTGTGGCCACCCTGAACCCTATAGACTCTAAACCCGTGCGAGACCCGATAGTCCTGAAGGCCCCTAAAGCCCTAAACCCTAGTCCCTCGTGGTGGCCCGCGGTACCCTTATTACATCCGCCGGGTTCTAGGTTCCCTGAAAGGAGCAACCCCCCAAAAGAAGGTACCCTGATTACATATGGTTACCTGGGCTACCAAGCCCTCAACTAAGCCCCCTAGGGCCCGACAACCCAGCCCTACACCCCTGATCCCCAAACCAGCAGCCAGGCAATCGCATGCCCAACGTTCGGCCGGGGATTCCAGAGGCGTGACGGCGTGCGGGTGGGGGTCCCGATCCCTGTGCCCTGAAAACCCTGAAGGTTTATCCCCTTAACCCAGTCTAGCGACTCATCCTGTGAACTCGCAGTCCCCAAACCCGAAACCTCCAACCCTTACAATAACCCTAAATCTAAAACCCTACACTGGCCCTCAACACTCAAACAGTCCTCCAACAGTCCTCCAAAAGCCCTCAAACAGTCCTCACCCTTTCAATCAATGCGCAATCTGGAATGAACTGGTCCTCAGCTGCTTGGATGATCGGGGACTTAGTCAGTAAGTAGCTATGAGTAGGGTGCCTCGGATAGCCGGAAATATTGTGCATTTTGGGGTACTTCTATCTCTTCTCTCTATCTACTTACTAAGTCCCCCGATCCTCCAAGTACTCCGACGCCAGGCGACGCGGCAGTTTCGATCGCAGGCCGGCAACAACATTTAGGGAGTTTTGTGGGTTGTCATGTCTCTCAGTAGGCCCAACAAAACAAGCGCCACATTATAGCATTGGCCCCAAAATGGAATGAACAGCTAAGGACTTTGGGTTTAGGGCTTCGGGTTTAGGGTTTAGGGCTTAGGGTTTAGGGCTTAGGGCTTAGGGTTTAGGGTGTGGTTGTAGGGTTTAGGTATTTCGGTACGCTGAAGAATGTACTCCCAAAAGCCTCGAGTTCTTCTCGGAAACCCCAAGAGCGGTACCCGTCTATTAAGGGAAACGCACCAGTCAGAGTTAGGGCAGTTGGGGTTTTATAGTTTACTGTTTAGGGTTTAGGGTTTAGGGTTTAGGGTTTAGGGTTGCGGGTGAAGCAACCAGTACTTGGAACTTTGCAATCTCTACCCTCGATCCCTCACCACGCCCTTAACTCTAAAGCTTGTCCCAAAACCCTAAGCCCGAGGCCCTGAAACCCTGAACACCTAAAACTAAACCCTTATGGCCCCGAAGCCCTAAGACCCTGAAGTTCTGAATCCCTGAAGCCCTAAGCCCAAGGCGCGAAAAAGCTGTAAGCACGCTGATCGCAGGTGACGGAGATGGTGGTCGACGATCCTGACGTCGTTCGCAGCTCAAGAACATGGAGTGTCTGCTTGGATGGTAACTGCTAGCCCACTTAAAACTGTACTTATAACCCAATTGTGACCATGTTAGCGTTTGTGGGGCTTGAGAAGTTTTGAAGCCCTCTTGTTGGGCTTTTGGCTTTGAGGACGGGTTCGGGGGTCTGGGGTTGAGGGTTTATGGATTGCAGGCCCTGAAACCTGAATTCCTCAACGACTTGCCTACAGAGTCGTAGGGAGCAGGTGACGTTGATTTGCCCACTTGGTACCCTAAACCCTAAACCCTAAACCCTAGACCCTAAACCCTAAACCCTAAACCCTAAACCCTAAACCCTAAACCCTAAACCCTAAACCCTAAACCCTAAACCCTAAACCCCTTGAAAGGGCTTGGGATGGACGGAACAGCTGTTGGGCGGGCTTAGGGCTCAAGGTCTGAAGCTTAAGGGATGAAATCCTCCAGTTATTGCATTTATTGGGTCCCTAAAGGAGGGGGTTCAAGGGGGGTTTAGGGTTTAGGGTTTAGGGTTTAGGGTTTAGGGTTTAGGGTTTAGGGGTATATCACCCAAGGCTCCATAATACTCCCCACTACTCCCTATTACTCCCTAAGCTTCCCTAAAGTTCCCCAGATACCTACCCCCTTGTTTTAGAGGACTTCTACCTTTTCTTGCCGATTGTTTGGAGAGAATCTAACTTGTCTCTTGCCCGAAAGCAATTTCTATGCGGCCTAAGCCCTAAGCCCCAAGCCCTAAGCCCTAAGCCTCAAGCCCTAAACACTGTGCGCGGCCAGAGCCGCTCCCGAGTGCGTGACAGTTGTCGGGCCTAACCCCATCAAACCCCAAAGCCAAACACAAACCCTAAGCCCTAAGCCCTAAGCCCTAAGCCCTAAGCCCTAAGCCCTAAACCCTAAACCCTAAACCCTAAACCCTAAACCCTAAACCCTAAACCCTAAACCCTAAACCCTAAACCCTAAACCCTAAACCCTAAACCCAAACACAAACCACAAGTTTCGGGTTTGGGGCTTCGGCCCTACACCCTATCCCCAAGCCACTCAACTTTGAAGCGGCCCAATGCTCTAACCTTGAGTGAACCACCGTAAAGTCTAACCCTCAGCTACTACTTGCCCTAAGGGTTTAGGGTTTAGGGTTTAGGGTTTAGGGTTTAGGGTTTAGGATTTAGGATTTAGGGTTTGGGGATGTTTGTGGCGCTGCATGAGGTCCTGGGCGTTCAGCTGGGACCCGGCGGGTACCTGGATCTCAAGGCACGAAGCGAATTTGGGTTTTTTGTCTCGGACCCACCCCAAGATGGCTCTCCGAAGTTTAGGGTTTAGGGTTTAGGGTTTAGGGTTTAGGGTTTAGGGTTTAGGGTTGAAGCCCTTAGCCCGTAAACCCTAGTCCTTATAGCCCTAAACCCTTCTAACCTTCTAACCCTTACACCCTTGAACCCTTAAACATCCTTAAACCCTGAAACCCTTAAGTCCTGGACCCTTACATCCCTTAGGGTTCAGGGTTTAGGGTTTAGGGTTTAGGGTTTAGGGTTTAGGGTGTGGGGTTTGGAGTCCAGGGTTTAGGGTTTAGGCTTGTGGGATCGTACGGAGGCTAGCACGAGCTTTCAAACCTTGAAGCACCTGAGACACATGTCGTGGATGTGGCTTTAAGGGTTTAAGGGATACAAGGGGTTAGGGTTTAAGGGTTGGAATGCAAACCCTAAGCCCTAAGCCCTAAGCCCTAAGCCCTAGACCCTAAACCCTAAACCCTAAACCCTAAACCCTAAACCCCAACGGTTGAGGGCCGGAGCCGGCCAGTTCAGGCTCTGCATCCTGGAGGTGCCTCCCCATTTAGGGTTTGGGGTTTTAGGGTTTAGGGTTTAGGGTGTAGGGTTTAGGGTTTAGGGTTCAGGGTTCAGGGTTTAGGGTTTAGGGTTTAGGGTTTAGGGCTTAGGGCTTAGGGTTTAGGGTTTAGGGTTTGGCGATTTAGGGTTTAGGGTGATGTGGTAGCTGCATGAGGTCTTAGGTGTTCATGCGCCCCTGTACGGAGCCAAGAGCTACGTGGATCGGCCAAGGCCTTCTGACAGGTCTCTCAGCAGCCCTAAACCCTAAACCCTAAACCCTAAACCCTAAACCCTAAACCCTAAACCCTAAACCCTAAACCCTAAACCCTAAACCCTAAACCCTAAACCCTAAACCCTAAACCCTAAACCCTAAACCCTAAACCCTAAACCCTCAACACTAAAAAAACCCTAAACCCCTAAACCCTAAACCCTAAACCCTAAAAAACCGTAAACCCTCAACCTCCAAGCATTTACGACATAGGTCGCCTTGCATCAACTCTTGAGGTTGGATGCAGTCTTGAGGCTAAACCCAACGCCAAGGGAAAGCGCAAGAACCTAAACTCTATCGCTAGGCTCACGCGTGTACCTGGAGGGTGGTCATGGCACTTCGCAACCCAACAAGTGACTTGAAACGACTATGGAGTTCCCCTAAGGGTCCATGTACCTATACAGTATATACTTGGGCCTTAAAGGGGTTGCCATATAGTAGTTTCAGGGCCCAAGTATGTATAATATCACACAGGTACAGGGACCCTGAGGGATTGAGTTCGAAGTACCCTGAACCCCCAAACAGCCACCCGAAGAGCTCTATACCCCTGAATTATGAACCTGAATCATCACATGGATCCCTTGTTCCTTTAAGGAGTTTTTCTTATACTTAAGGGGTAGTGGGCTCTCTGAAAAACAGCCATGTCTCTCCGTCCTCGACGCCGGCGCGCCACCCGTGCAGCCTCGGCCTTGGCGGCCTTTGCGGCCGCTGCCCCTTCTGCGCTGGTCGGGGCGCAGTCTCTGGTGCCGTCACAGTCGCTGGCAGCTCGGCCCCCGCAAAGCCTCATGGGGGTGTTTTTTGTTATTTTTTGGCGAGGGGTGGTGGCTGCGAGGGGGGGGGGTGAGCCTCCAAGTTGGAGGTTTAGTCTTAATTTCGTTTCAGTTCCGGTTGCGGGTCTCCTCAAAAGCTCAATGGTTTCAGGGGTTGGGGTTTACTTGGAGAAAAAACGGGGGGGGGGGGGGACTCAGTAAGTAGTTTTTTAAGTAGGTTCCGAAGCAGGATGCACCAACCAGGGTTCCTTTTGCGTTTATGCCTTCTAAGTCCCTCGATCCTGTAAGGAAGGGGACCGCACAGGGTCCGTGCTTACTGCTAGATCATGGCCTAGGAGACTGTTTCAGCCAAGGACCGTAAAAACCTAAACCTAAAACCCTAAACCCTAAAGTCAGTGGTCGGGAGCGCCTGGCATTGTGCCTTAAACTGGAGCAGAGTCCTGACAGCAAAGGAAAGCCCTGTGAGCGCAGGTTGCAACAGCCAATTTCAAGGTATATACACTAGCCCTAAACCCCAAACCCTAAACCCTATAAGTCCTGAAGCCTAAAATTTAGTAAATCCTAAAACCCAAAGAGGTGGGGCATTCGAGACCCTGTCAAGCTCTAAACTGGGCGCTGGCTTGGAAATCCTAAGGCCCTCAACTCCACACCCGCAAAAAGCTGCCCTGAGGATTTAGGGTTCAGGGTTTAGGGTTTAGGGTTTAGGGTTTATAGGGTTTATTGGGTTTGTAGGGTTTATAGGGCTTATGGGGCTTGTAGGGTTTAGGGTTTAGGGTTCCTAAACCCCAGGCCCCAAAATCCCATGGCGCAAAGCAGCCAAGGCAAAGCAAGGCACGAGCCGTTTTCTGTGGCCTCCACTTCTATTGTGGAGAAGGGTTTAGGGTCTCGTCCGGTTTAGGGTTTAGGGTGTAGGGTTTAGGGGTTTGGGGTTTAGGGTTTAGGGCTTGCAGGGCTTGTAAGCCGCATAAGAGCCGTAACCGTAGATCAAAAAGTTACGCCGCCTGGCCGCCCCCCTCCTGAATCCTAAACCCCTAAACCCTCTAGGGTTTAGGTTTCAGGGTTGAGGGTAAGCCCTAAACCCTAAATCCTAAACCCTAAACCCTAAACCCTAAACCCTAAACCCTAAACCCTGAACCAGTGGCGAGACGTCCCAAGACCCCCGAGCCGCGTTTAAAACGGAATGGGGGTTTTCCGAAATTTGGGGTACCTTATCGGGCGGTCCTTATTATAAGGGTTTAGGGTTTAGGGTTTAGGGTGTAGGGCATAATTTCCTTACTGGGGGTCCTTATCATAAGGGAGTCTTACTATTTGGGAGTCTATGTTAGGGGTCACGTATCTTTCTTTGTAAGCCTCCTCAAGTAACTGCGATGCTTGCGAAGGGGTGTTGAGGATTTGTAAGTCGTAAGGATTTTGAAGGGGTTTTGTTGCGTTTCTGTTAAATTAGGCTTTGAGGGTTCGTAAGCCGTGACGGTTTTGAAGGGAATTTATAGGGTTTTGTTGCGTTAGGCTTTGAGGGCTTGGAAGTCTTAAGGGTTTTGTAAGGGTTCTTATGTGTTTTGTTAGGGGTTTTAGGTTGTCTGCCGGGTTTTTGTTAGGTGCTGGCTGGCGGTTACAGGGCTGTAGAGCGTTTTCTTTGAGAATTATCATTATTGTTGTTGTTATTATTATTATGATTACTACTACGATTATTCTTATGATTATTCCGATCATTGTTATTATTGTTAGTACTATTTTTATTTACTCTTATTATTATTGTTACTTTATATGTTTTTTGTTTGTGGGGGGGGTCTAGTGTTTGTTGTGTTTTTAACGTTCAGGTTTAGATACCAAGTGGGGTTTGGCGCCTCGGGCTTTTGTGTAGGAGTTTTCGGACTTAGCGCATCTGTGTTTGGGGTACCTGAACTAAAGGTCCCGAGCCCCGAGGGCTACCACCGTGAGGAGTCCAAACTGGAGCACCCTAGGCCCTGAACCTGAACCCTGAACCCCTAAACCCTAACCCCCTTAACCCCTTAACCCCTAACTTGAAACCCTAGCCCTAAAACCCTAAACCCCTATTCCCTTAACCTTAAAGCCAGAAACCCTAAGCCCTAAACCCCTGCACCCCTAAACCCCTAAACCCCTAAACCCCTAAACCCCTAAACCCCTAAACCCCTAAACCCCTAAACCCCCAAACCCCTAAACCCCTAAACCCTAAGCCCTAGCCCTAAGCCCTAAGCCCTAGCCCTAAGCCCTAAACCCTAAAACCTAAACCCTAAGCCCTAAACCCAAAACCCTAAACCCTAAACCCTAGCCCTAAACCCTAGGATCCTTTCGGATGTGGCGGAGGCCTCCCGTCGTTGCTGGCCCTTGGACTCGGCCTGCTGCTCCGAGCTCCCCTACTGCAGGGGCTGAGGCTGAGGGCCTGTTGGGGTTTAGCGTTTAGGGTTTAGGGTTTAGGGTCTAGGGTCTAGGGTTTAGGATTTAGGGTTTAGGGTTTAGGGTTTAGGGTTGAGGGTTGAGGGTTGAGGGTTGAGGGTTGAGGGTTGGGGTTTAGGGTCCAGGGTCTGGGGTCAGCTTACGGAAGGAATTAAACACAACTTCACACTCAGGTGGAAGACGGACGTCGCGTTGAATGAGAAATCATGTTTCCGCGATGCCTCCAAGTAAGCACTTTCAGGGATACCGGTTGATTCCTGAAGGAAGGGTGAGCTAGAGTCTGAGTTTGCCATGGCGATTGTGCGCTTGCGCATTCCGGACGGCTGGCCGGGTCCTCGCATTCTGGGCCTCGACGTTTATCACCTCTGCTGGGTGTCCATGCATCAACCATTGCCCTACAACATGTCCAACAGTCTTTGCAGCTCTTGGTGAACAGTAACCGGCATCTCTCGGAATGCCAGATCCCAGTGGCTGCAACATCCAGGTCAACATACGCCATATCTCGCAGCGGGCAGCTCGTTCGTTTCGGCGCGATTGTGGATGGCAACTTCCCGTCAAACGTGGTCGGGCGGGTATCTTGCGTCGCCGTCGGGCTTGCTCACGCCTGCTTTTTGGCAGCGTCTGGGGCGCTCTCCTACTGTGGGCGTAATGACACCGGACTGTGCAATGTGCCAGCAGATCTCGGGCGAGTCGTGGCAGTTGCGGCAGGATTCTACCACACCATTGCAGGCAAGTGGAGAGCTCGTCTGCCTTGGATCACCTGCGAGTTGCAACGTACCGCCATGCCTTGGTCCTGTCCTAGCTGTCGCTGCAGGCCAGCATCACACGTGCGCAATTACCACGCATGACCAGTTGGTCTGTTTTGGCGGCAACCAGCGCGGCCAGTGCGACACGCCGGGCAATTGGGGGTTTCCGCAATCCACTGCACATGCATCTGACCACGGACTACTTGTCGGAACTGTGTCTCAACTTCTAAAT